GTCATGATGACAACATTAGCATGTGTGTGTGTGAGAGAGAGAGAGAGAGGACGAGTATGGTCCATATATACCCATCCAAAATTCTAATGTCTAATGTGTATATATATTGCATGTGTGTTGGGAGGGGGACTGTGGATAGAAAACCAAGTAGGAGATGGAAGAATCAATAATATATAGTGTTTTATAGTTCAAACATTATAGCCGCTAATGTTTATTTTCTCTAGTGTACGTCATTTAAAGATCATCTTTATAAAATAAAAAAAGAATTATTAGATTTGAAGGCTACTTAATCATTCGTATGAATTTACAAAGATTGACAATTCATCATTTCTTACTATAACCGTCCATCTTATGACACATATGAATGTTTATACCGTCTCCGAATTGAATAAACTTTTCAGATAATTTTTAAATAACGACAAAGAGAATGAACCATTCTAATTGCACTTATTATACCGTAAAATGATATAAATGTTAACGAAAAAGTAGGACTTTCCTCTCATTGTCCTCCTTTCCAATATTATCCTCAAACTATAGTTTGAAATATAAGGGATTATATTTGATCTAATTCGCAAGCATCTTGGTGCTTTCGTTCTGACGCCTGAAAGTGACAGGGCCAAACCCTAGGAAGAAAAAATAAGGTATATAGCGAATGATGGCGGATGGCCCCAAAACAAAAATAAATGCGTGCTCTCTTTTTCTCTCTGCCACTGCATGTCTCTGTAAATAATACAAATCCTGCAATCTCTCAGCCTGCAACAGAAAGTAAACTGAATTTCGCCCTGTGAACTCTCACTGTCGACTCTCTCTCTCTCTCTCTCTCTCTCTCTCTCTCTCTCTCTCTCTCTCTCTCTCTCTCGTGTAATATGCTCCTTCTGCATTAGTTTATAGTTAAGCACTTAGGTGCAGAATAATAGAATTAATCAAGAAAAAAAATCCAAAACCCTAATTACCGTACGTACAGATGAAAATATGTTCCCTTAATTCGTGTAAGATTTTAAGTAGCAGAGTCATGATAACATTAACTCCTAAATGCGTCATTCTAATTGATAAACTCTAATTTAGTGTCCAATTTTCGCTTCTCCTACGTACGTGACGATTGGTAAAGTCCATCAAGGCTTAACTAGGATAGAAATTATGTACAAAATCGATTTACATTGAATGCAATATATTTTGCTATAGTTTCTCATCGGCTATGAGGGCGAACTTGCCTACTTGGTTAACCGTTAGCTCAAGTGGTGAGAGAGAGTGGAAAAATAAGGATTAAGGTAGTTCATGCATCATAATCCATATTTGTGGGAGGGCGGAAGCGAAATACATATACTAAACTCTTATGACAAAAAGTTTAGCATTATATTTGGAATATAACGTCTAAGGGTAATTTTCTTGGTATTTACTGGATAAGTCTTATAGTTCAAGTGATCAAAAAGTAGGAAAATGATCTAATCTACCACTTAAGCAAGTCCTATTCATTTATATTCAATGCAATAATGCTAATTCATTTGTAACAGTAATAGGCGGATGCATTTTCTTAGAAAGTATTTATACGTCCAGCAGTACTGATGTCTTATGTTAAATTTCAATGTATCCTATATCAATTGTATAATAAAATATATAAAAACTTGATCATTAAAAATAGATTAGAGGCACAAGTTCTTGAGGGTGTGCATCGTTGCCATGATTTTATATTCTCCCTTCTGTCATCTCAGACCAAAAGAGAACTGGATCTCTCAGTGAAGTCAAAAGTAGAGCCTCCTTAGACCTTTTGCAGTAAGTGACAACAATATAAACAGTGATCATTGTACACTAAATATTCTTCTTGTTGCTTGATTTATACTTCATAGACATTGCATGGAGCTTTCTTTTTCTCTTACTCGTGCCTAATGCTTTTCCAACAGGCTTATCATCACTGTCTGCCCAACATGAAAACTTCCCTGAAGGTGAAAGTGAAGTAACAAATAATGTCAGTTAGAATATATAGCATGCATGCAAATATATTGCTAATTCTAAGGGTGTTGAAGGGTTTGGTGAAATGGGTTGTAATTTGGATGCAATTCAGATTATTATTCATAGGAACAAAGCCCAATTTTAATACAAGATACATACATGAAACCAGAAAGGGTCGTGTTATCCACAATACTCATTTTTACTTCTCACACACCATTTTTCAATTTTCAACTGACCTTATGCACTTAAAATCCAAGTTTGATTAATTCTCCCTCTTGACAACTATCGCTTGCACAAAAATATAATTACTAGATTTAATTAGCCCACTAAATGTGGGTTAATGAAAGCTAGGCAAGCACCAAAACTTGATAGAGTTGCAACAGCTCGAAACTTGGCTTAGTGCATCCCAAAAGTAAAGGTTTGCGTGAGCAGCTGAGAGGATTATGAAAGAGTTGAATATCATAGTGTGCAACGAATAAGATTATAAAATAATAAGAATATTATTAAACAAACGAAAATGTTGAAATGGCTACAAAATCCTAAGAGGCTATATCGTGACTAACATATTCTCAAATGAATAACAAACATGCTATTTATAATAAACTAACCCTAACCCTAAAAGGTAAGAAACCGAAACCCTAATGCTAATGGGCTAAGCCCAGAAAACCAAACATTAAAATAAACTTAAATACTAATATTTTCCAAAACCCTCGTCAAACTCATGATGGTATACGACATGAGTTTCCAAACAAGTAAATGCGGACTGGCTCTGTTAGGGGGACGGGCAGGCATGCAAACTTGACTAGATTGGACTGGACTTGACTGGTGAACTTGACTAGATTGGTAGATTAGCAAATTGATTCTTGCTGGCAAGCTAATTCTGGCTGGTAAACTGATTCTGATTCAGACCGGCTAGTGTTGAGAGTATGAAAATAACCCGTTACTAAACAGAAGAGATTTCCATATCTCAATTGTAACAACAAATGAACAAACACAAACACAATCACTTGAGTGGTTACAATTCTAAGCACTCGAATGACAATCACAAAACAATCTCAAACGCCAACAACTCCTGTGGGCCTCAAAGACATCAAACCAAAAAATGGCTGGCAAACAGCCGACAACCCATTTTTACTCTTTGCCCGTGTGGGCCGAAACCTCAAACAATTTTTTTTTTATTTTTTTTTTTAACATTTTCCTTTCCCTCCTTCCTTCTTTTTTTTTTTTTTTTTTTCTTGTTCTTCGTTTCTTTCCTTGACTTCAACAAAACACGGGCTGGTTTGCAGAACACGGGTCTGTGGGCCGGAGCACATGCGGATTCTGTGCCTAATGGGACAGCAGCGGCGGTGGGTGCATATCAGAGCGGCGGCGAGGATGCGTGTACAGGGAGTGCAGCAGTGGATGGCAATCTGGGCGATAGGCAGGTATGGTGGGCGTGGCGGCGATGTGGGTACGTTTCCGGGCTTCAGTCAACAGCAGCGGCAGGTTGCAGAAAAACTGGGTACGGCAAGTTTGAAGCGGCGGTTAATGGCTGGGGTTTCGGGTATGCAGGGATATGGGAGTGGTTCCGAGCAATTATATTCAATTTTTTTTTTTTTCAAAACTAATATCAAACAAACATGTCACCTATCAAGAACAGATTAAATCCTGAAAGTTCAAACATGATCTGATACTAAGTTGAATATCAGATTATACACTGAACAAGACTATAAAAGAATAAGAATATTATTAAACAAACGAAAATACTGAAACGGCTACAAAATTCCAAAAAGCTATGTCGTGACTAACATATTCTCAAAGGAATAACAAACATGATATTTATAATAAACTAACTCTAATCTTAAAAGGTAAGAAATTGAAACTTTTATACTAACGGGCTAAATCCAGAAAACCAAATATTAAAGTAAACTTAAATATTAATATTTTCCAGCAGAAGTACATCACTTTCAACTTGCTAATTAAAATTGTTGATTACGCCTATTAACACTTTATGCGGCTGCAAGGAACAGTGATAGGGGATTTTTTGCATGGCTGTTAATTGGCTATTATGGCGCTAATTAGAAATAAACTAGGATTAACTACTAAGTGGCTGGGTAGGGTGGCCCGTGAAGATTTAATCAATCTAATTACCAAAAAGTCGCCCAACTTTGGCAATCACGTAGACTCTTAAATTTAATCAATGACGGTGAACTTTAATTAACATCCGCATTAAGCTCTAGCCTTTAGCTAGCAATCAAGGAGACCTGAAATGTTTCAGGTCGAAATTAAACAATCACAACAATAACCATTTGTTGTGTGAATATTCTATTATGCTCCGGTGCATAGCTGCACCGAGCAATGGAATGCTAGATGCCCCGGGTAACGGAATTACTGGATGTGCGTCCAAAAGTTCAATGACCAAGACTTGACCAGCCAAAGTTCCCGGCGTATGGGAAAACCCTGGTCTTCCAAAATCTGGTAGGGCCTGGAGCTACTACGGAAGAATCACAAACAACAATGCATATTAAGATTTCCACGAGGCCAGGGGGCTCACTTTGTAGATTTAGAACAACAATGGGTGCATAAAATGTTCATCCCCTTGATCCACTCGGGGACATTCGGCTAGACTCCGGCTCACTGTCGTCAAAACTTGCTTAACTACCGTTTATGCCAAATTGCCGGAAACTCAATTGCCTTCCATGTCAATTGCAGTTTCCTCTCTCAAACGTCAGCAGAATACAAAACAAGCTAGAAACAACTAAAGATTAAGGGAAAGAGGGATGAGAAGCGAGATCCCCATGGAACATTCAGAGGTCGGGCAAACCTCGCAATTTAGGTTTAAGGCATTTAACTCTAATAACAACCTTATTCATTTAGTCTTCGAACGAAACTCTCATCAGCGTAGAGTATGCTACACTGACAATGATAAACAGGGTGTGTCATGATCATCCTTTCTAGGCTATCACAAATTAACAGTATAGATAAGAGAAGCTTGCTAATATTCGTTCTAAATCCTAAACCTACGTCTTCATATGGTTGCAATCAGGGAAAGAAAATCACAATGACAGACAAGATATCGCAAAATTATCGCAGGTAGAAATCTTAGAAGTTAAAGAAACGAGCGATAATGTAATCCATCACCCAACTGCGGTTGCATTTGGATTTTATACAGAGACATTCTTGGCCAAACAAAATCGGAAAAAATGGTTGTATCAAGTACCCTTATTCATGTCAAGCACAGCATTTCATTACGTGAGGAGACTAGACAAACATCCATGCTAACATGAACAGCATCTCTTCAGTTCGAGGAGAGGAACAAAATAACACAGATATTGTTCCAGAATCCCGTAAGCCTGCAAGAAGCCAAAACAAGCTAAGAGTCATTGATACAATATAAACACGAAAACAATAAGCAAGCAACGCCAAACATAAGTACATAACCTGAGAAACCAAAGGATATAAAATATGCAAACACAATGACAGGAACCAAGGAGAGGAACAGGGAAAAGAAAAACTAAAAATTAGGAAAGAGCATGTGGAAGCCTCTATCTCTATGTATCTTCAACGGCCCAATCATTTATGGAAACAAATTAGCACATCCAGGATGCAGCCAAATAGCTAAAAAGATATTGAGAACCATCGGTAGAAGAGATGGTATCGGTCAACTTATGGACGTCCATGAAACTAAAGCAATTCCTACAGAGGATTTCAATATCAAATCATTCAAAGGAAAATACCAGCTGTGGAAAGCAGGCATTCCAGTAATAGCATGTTTGGATTCAGATAATTTTTAAAATTACTCTCATATGGGTGGTTCACTATAGATAGAAATGAAGAGATGAGTACAGAATACTTGATTTATCTGCACATTTGAAGAGGAAATAAACTTTGTGGTTTAATTTTCGAATGTCTTCAATTAAAGACTTTTCTCTTTGTCTCTTTCACACCCGTCCAAACAAGAATAAAATAAGCAAAAATATTCTTTTTCTTCTCTAGTCCTCCCCATGGATGTTTCCATGAGTTCTTCCCGAAGGAACTAAAAAAATCCCCATGGATCTTTGTTGAAAAACCACACACTAGACCTTGTTCTTTAATGTAACCAACGGCAATAGACTAAACTAGCAAATATAGAAAACTTAGAAACACACAAGACTTATACTGGTTCGGAAGAACTTTTGCCTACGTCCCGTTGGTAGAGAAATCACCGCTCCTTTGATTAATAATAGAGAATTACAGAACTTTTGCAAAACCCTAGAACTAATCTCTCTCTCTTGTCTTGGCTGTCAACAGTTTTCCTCTCTCTTAAATTTAAGCCTTGCCGCACCCTATTTATAGGCATAGAGTGCAGTTTACATGTCCTTTACAGATTATAATTCCTATTCTAAGTGGAATAGGAAATTAGACTTCCTTTCCAATTCCAAATAGACTTCTAGGATTTCTAATCTAAATTGAATAAGGAAACTAAGATTCTTTCCTAGCCCTTTTAGGAGAAGAATCGGTGCACCCTTTTTTTCCCTAAAACAATCCTAAACAGAAAAGGACACTAATTGACGAGCCAAAACCTAACAACCCTTCCATCAGATCAAAACATAATTCCAAGTGTGATCACTCACCACAGCCAAATATCAAGAGTATGCCTGTAAAACTCCAGCCAAAGCATGGATTGTGGCAGACTTTGTCTGATGCATCGCCGACAAACAAATTGAAGTTTCAACGAGATTGAAGTTATTGGAACACAATATCTTGTCTAATATCCATATAAAGGTTCAGGACGTGCATACACAACAAATTGATGTTAGACTAGCTACGAGAAGTTCAAGGAAGCTAAAGGTCAGATCCCATGGATGCTTTTTATCTACATACAAGGTTATCAGCACTAAGGCCTCCAGCCTGCCTTGCAAGCCATGCAGACAACATGATCCTAAAACCATGGGCAAATGACTCACGGCAATGGACGAAAGATTTTGTACTATGTAAAGAATATATGTTATTTCAATTAACTTTCCCAAAATGGAAGATAAATATAACAGTATACCATTTCAAAGCCAAGCAAAAGATCCATATTTTCAATCCTCGAATCAGGTACTGAGTATGCCTCAAGGTTTAAGGTGTAAACTACAGTGTTTATGGTGCATTTACTATATCAAATTTGTATCGACTAAGACTCATTGGATCGAAGATTTTCAGTCTCCCACGGCAATAAAAGCCACAACAATGGAGCACCCGGAAAGGTCCAGTGAAGCAAAATACAACCTAATTCAGTATTAGAGAAACTGAAATTGCACTAATCCAAAGTTACAGCCAAACTGCCACTGAAAGCAGCAATTCCTAACCAATCGAGCCTCAGAAGACAAACTTCCTGAGCAACTCACAATTAAAACAAGCTCAGCAAACTCAAAACCAACAAAACAACCTTCAATGCGAAAAACCCGAAACATAAAAAACCTTTCTCATTGCTGTCAAGCTATTAACAAAACTAAAGGGATAAACTTCCAGCAAAATTCTATTCCAAAACTCAATAAAGACTCCTACTTTTGCATATATATCACTCCATCAGTACATTTTCACAAAAAGATTCAAGCACAAATAACAAAATTCCACAATTTACACAATGCCCGAAAAATAACCCTAAATTAAATTAATTAAACCCTTAAATTATCAAATTAATGAAAAATTGGAGGAGGAAAACGAACCCAATTCATTTCTGGTAGCCTCCACCCTGAGCATTGTAATCCTCTTCAACGAAATCGGTCAAGTAAACCGGCGGAAATTCCGATACGTCGAAGGTCGTCTTCTCCTTCATCAGCTTCTCCACATCGGCCTTCTTCAATACAGTGCGCTTGATCGGGGGCCGGTTGCGCCGCTGGTCGCGGGCGAAATACTTGATGTCGTATACGGTTTCCGGGTTGGAGGTGGGCACGCATACCTGGACCTTGGTCGTGGCAGGGCACTCGAGCCGGTACTCGAGCGCGCCGGGTACGGCCAATTTGTACTCCGGATCCGCGCACGGACCGGTTATCTCCCACGGTTTCTTGAGGTAGCGCTTTAGGGTTTGGGAGAGGGATGACGCGGCGGTTGAGACCGGTTTCGCCATTGGAGGAATTTGAGATGCAGGTCAGGCGAGATACTGAGACGAAGATTTGGACTTTTTTTCGTTGGAAAATGAAGTTACGCGATGTGCACGTGTCTTCTTTAGAGATAAATTCGTAATATCAGAATTTCCATGCCCATATTTAGTTTTTTTTCTTCTTTTTTTTAGTCCAATTAAGCTATAAAATGGGTAGCCTAATTTGGTATTGAATTTGTCATCTATTGTACTGAGTGGCATCCATATTTAGTTATTAATTTTGCAGATATTTTAATCTCACTAACACTATATTTGGATGAGGGAAATAAACTTGAAATTTGGACAAAAGTAAGAGTTTATAAATTGAAATGCACAAATTCTTTAGTTTGGATTCAAAAATATAAAAATTTAGAATTTTCGCTTGGAAAAATAAACTTGGAATTTATGATCTCTAATTTTTAAGTTTAAAATTCATATAAATAAGTGTCATTTCTCAATTTATGTGAGTGACGAGTGAGAGTTTAAAAATAACAAATTCGTATTCAAATTTCATTGTTCTTTTAAGTTAACCAAACAAAAAAATTCACAAATTCTAAAAAAAAAAAAATTCATCATTTTAAAATTCTTTTAGTAATCTTAAACTTCTTCATCCAAACTTTTGTCCTTAGTTCTTGATTGCTTTATCAGTAAACTTAAAATTTAACGAATTAAAAACTTAAAGAGGAGTTTTGATATAGGTGCATATTTTTTTAATTTCTTGAATTAATAATATGCTGAAAAATTTGATTAAACATTATTCCTACATTTAAGATGCCACTTATTTTATAAGTGACGTCTTTTTAATGCCATATTACACGATTTGCCATATGATGTACCTTTAATTAATTAATAATTATCATGTTAATATCCCAAATTTCCCAAAATGTAGTAGATTAGTTTTAAAAATCTTAACACATCAAACTTGATCTAATTATGCTTCTAACATGCATTTTATTCCTGACTCCACACCATACAAGTAACTAACATGCTATCTTCTTCTACAACCATTAGCAATTTTTTCATGTCATTGCTTTCCTCGATCGACCGATCAAACCCTCTTTCGTTCTCCTTTGTCGATCATATTCATTTCCTTCATATTTCATTTTATGCACACCTCTTGATCTGAGTATCCATATCAAAGGGTATGCTTTTTGTTTTAGCATACTTTTTACCTATCTTTCCATCTTTTTCACGTACCATGGTACATTGGGGAAATAGAATTTAGTGATACATTTTATTTTAAAGGATAGTTGGTATTGGTAGGTTCAATTTAGCATTAGTATACGTTTCAAACCGATATATTGGTACGTTTTAAGTTAGAATTGGTACGTTTCAATTTAGCATCAGTACATTTCAAGTTGTTATTGAACATTTCAAGGTGAAATGGGTACGTTTCAATTTAGCATCAGTATGTTTCAAGTTGTTATTGGTATGTTTCAAATTGATCTGAGTACGTTTCAAGTTGATTTCAATTTAAAATTTGCATTTATATATCTCATACCGAATAGCACTAATCTCAGTCCAAACACTCCAACCTCATCCTTTTTATCAACAACTTTTATATTTCAATAATAATTTTATGATGTGAACGAGCCAACAAAAGGGGTATAAACCCTGACGACAAAAAAAATTTCAAAATTCAAAGTTTATTGATAATATTGGTGATTTAGTTAATAGCCATTAATAATATCCCCAAAAAAAGGTATAAATCCTGACAAGCCAAAAAAATTCCCCTTATCAACTAAAAGGATAAAGTGGAAAATCAACATATAGCATTTTTATTTAAAAAAAAAAAAACCAATGACATGTAAATAAAATAAAATAAAAAATGATTTGGTGGATATTAGTTAAAGCATCTTAATCAAAATTTTAAAAGAAACAAATATTTAATAAAAATTATGTAAAAAAAGAGTGGAGGATTCTAATTTTCTCAAACTTAAATATGATTGAACTATTTAGGTGGTCGTGCCAGTCGAAATAAGATCATTTATGGATCCCTTCCATTCGAATTTTTTAGATCCTTCAATCATGTCCGTTCAATCGAAAATGAAAAGCCAAGAATTAATTAACTTTTTTTTGTTCATCTTCTTTCTTATGCTAGCCACTCTCTTCTCTCCCTATATGGGAGGACTTGATTCCAATTTTGGGCAACTAAAGGTCAGAAAATGACGGTGTGGTTGTGGTGGGTCAGCAGTCGGAGCCAGGACCCATCGAAGAACACAAAAAAATCGAAGAATTCAGAAGATCCGAATGGAAGAGATTAGGAAAGAATCTTGACTTGTGCCACTCTAGCAAAAGAGTGGCAACAGACTACAAGAACTCTAAAAAAATATAGTAAAAATAATAAAAATGACTTGAAAACTTTGAGTTTTAACGATAAGGACAAAATAAAAGGTAAAGTGAATAGTACCAAGATTGACTTTTTAGTGTAAAAATGTGGTTTTTCGTTAAAATGAACAGTACCGGTAGGGCTGGGCAAACGGGTACTGGATCTGCGGGTAGGGGCAGGTAATGCCAATTCGGGGCGGGTACATATATTGTAAATTCACAACAGGGCGGGGCAGGTACAAATTCAGAGAAAACGGGGCTTCGGCCCGAACCTTTTCCACCGTTGATTATAAGGAGATTAAATCTCCACCAGTTTATTTCTAACACAGCCACATAGGTTATATCAAATTCTCCAGAGTCCTCCCAAGTCCCCACTCCTTTCGAGTCCCTGGCTCCTTTCAATCTCAATCTCGACCTCGATCTTGACATTGATCTCTACCTCGACCTCGAATTCTTTGTTTCAACAACCATTTCTAGCCTCCAGAATCTAGATCTCAACGCCTCCAGTCGTTGGGGGTCTGTCGGTCTTCAGATTCCTTTCCTGTGTTCAGCCATGCTTGGGAATGACGACTCTCCTTTGAGAAGGAGAAGAACCTCAAGCTCTTCCTCAAAGTTGGATTGGAGTGCATAGTCAAAAACATCATCGCCAACACCACCAACCTCACTGTCGTCATTCATGAGGTACTCACTTTTGGGGGTGGTGGTGCGGTTGGGTTGAGTGTTTGGGGTGGTTGGTGGAGGCTTGGCTGGGGTTTATGGGGCTAGTGCGACTGTTCTAGGAATTTTGAAGGGATGGGACTGATAGTTATATTTAGGAGTTGCAGGTTAATTTGTTAAAGCAAGGAAAAATTGAAGAAGAAATATGTAGGGCTATTTTAACTACTCAATCGTTGATTTTCTTCTTCTGCTTAATTTTTGAGGTTTTCCGATTTAAATGCATGTGATTCATAATCTTGCGGATGTATACTTTTAGATTTAGTCTACTTATTTTGTTGTTCTTAAATAATTCCAAGCCGTGGTTACTGATGGATCCAGTTTTCTGATTTGTCTTCGGCGGCTCTTCGACTGGGAATCTAGGTGGGATACTGAAAATTAGAGAGAGAGAGAGAAAAAAAAAAAAAAAAAAGGTACCCGTTGGACCCGTAGGAATCGGCCCGTTTTATACGGGCCGGGTTAGGTCTAGTTCTCAGTTTCAAAATAGCCAAACCCGCCCCCGCCTGGCCTGGCCCGTTGTATTTTCAAGTGGGTTCGGTCCGGTCCCTCCAATTTTGGGCCTAGCTCGGCCCTTGCCCACCCCTAATACCGGGAGCTTTTTGTTAAAGTTCCCAAAAAATAGTAATATCCTTCGAATCTACTATCTACCAAAGTTTTGGACTTAGTTCTTAATTACCTTATCATTAAAGATTAGGAAACTTTAACAAAAAGTTTTCGATACTATTCACTTTAACAAAAAATCACATTTTTACACTAAAAAGTTAATCCTGGTACTATACACTTTACCTTTTATTTTGTCATTATCGTTAAAACTCAAAGTTTTCATGCCCTTTTCATTAGTTTTCCTTAAAGATTATGTCTATCTATTATGTCTTTCTTCAAAGATTATGTCTACAAAAAGTTACCAAAATCTGAAACCATATGACTCTTGTATTAAGAGTTTAGGGTTTCTTTGTATAACCGTATTCGTCTATTTTATTCATTACAAATAAATGTCTTAATGATTTTTGAATTGTCTAATTTTTTGCTTAAATGATCTATGAAAATTTAAAAGATAAACAGTTCGGATTTTTAAAATGCATTATAAGATGGACCTCAGGAAAATGTGTGTAAAAAATTATGTAAAAAATATAGTGTAAATACAAAACCAAGCAAACCGAAAATAGAAAGGGGTCAATAGTGTACGTTGTACCATCCCTAAATTTGGTAAATTATCCTACCATCCCTAAATTATAAAAGTTAAAAGTTGACCTACTCAAAATCACAAAGTAAAGGCAAGTGATACTTTCGCACAATGATGGTAAGATGTTGAGTTATTATATAATGATGTGGGTTTAAACTCCATCGGTAATTAATTTAACATCTAATTTAATATAAAGGAAAAATTTGAAATAGGTCCAATTTTATAGACTACATTTTGAAATAGATCCAATTTTTAATGACTTTTAATTTTTGAAATAGGTCCAATTTTTAATTACTTTGAATCTATTTCAAAAAACCCCTTTAATAAAATCTATCGTTTAACAAAAAAAATAAAAATAAAAAACAAATGAAAACAAGCATTAAACAGCCATCCAAACTCCAAGGCAAAACGATGCAAACAACCACGCACCCCAACCACACATCCCGTCGGCGACGCTGCTCCTTGTGGCCAAAAAAGTCATCTTTCGTTTCTCAATTTCTCTCCTCTCTTTTTGCCTCTTCGTCTCTCTTTAAATAAGCGGAGCCAGCCAATTCCCCATAAATTAAATTTAAGAAATACGGGTAGATTGTAATACCAAGTGATATTTTTTTTTTGAAATTAAATGATCCAAAAAATCTTTTTTATAATTTTATTCATGCTGTAATATAATACTAGTATATGGGCACACACAAAGTGTGTGAGAAAATTTTTAATTTTTAATTTTGAAATAGAAGGAGAGAGGAAGAGAATGATAGAGAATGTGGGGGTGGGAAGTTTTTATTTATTTTTTATTTTTATTTTTTATAATTAGATA